TCACCAGGGATGTTGTACAGATTATTTCATCATGCAGGTATTAAGCACAGTACCCAATAGCTATTTTTTCTGCAGCTGGGCACAGTGGCTCACGCCTGTAATCCCAACACTTTGGGAGGCTGAGGCGGGCAGATCACTTGAGGTCAGGAGTTCAAGACCAGCCTGGCGACATGGTGAAACTCAGTTTCAACTAAAAACACAAAAATTAGCTGGGTGTGGTAGCGGGCACCTGTAATCCCAGCTACTCGGGAGGCTGAAGCATGAGAATTGCTTGAACCCAGGAGGCAAAGGTTGCAGTGAGCCATGATCATGCCACTACATTCCAGCCTGGGTAACAGACCAAGACTCTGTCTCAAAAAAAAAAAAAGTTACCTTTTCTACTTCTCTCCTTCTTACTCTCCCCTCCCTTTTACTCTCCCCTCTCAAGTAGACCCCACCAACTGTGTCTGTTGTTTCCTTCTTTGTATTCATAAGTTCTTATCATTTAACTCCCACTTATAAGTGAGACATGCAGTGTTTGGTTTTGTTTCTTTATTAGTTTGCTAAGGATGATAGCCTCCAGCTTCATGTTCCTGCAAAAGACATGATCTTTTTTATGGCTGCATAGTACTCCATGGTATATTTGTACCACATTTTCTTTATTTAGTCTGTCATTGCCATGCATTTAGGTTGACCCCATGTCTTTGCTATCGTGAATAGTGCTGCAATGAACATTCCCGTGCATGTGTTTTATGGTAGAATGATTTATATTCTTCTGGGTATATTCCCAGTAATAGGATTACTGGGTCAAATGGTAGTTCTACTTTTAGCTCTTTGGTTTTTTTTTTTTTCCCTTTAGACCAAATCTTGCTCTGTCATCCAGGCTGGAGTCCAGAAGTACGATCTCAGCTCAGTGCAACCTCCACCTCTGGAGTTTAGCGATCTTCCTGCCTCAGCCTCCTGAGTAGCTGGGATCATGGTGGATAAGCTTTTTGATGTGCTGTTGCAATTGATTTGCCGGTATTTTATTGAAGATTTTTGCATCTATGTTCATCATGGATATTGGCCTGAAGTTTTCTTTTTTTGTTGAGTCTCTGCTGCGTTTTGGTGTCACGATGATGTTGGTCTCATAAAATGATTTGGGAAGGATTCACTGTTTTTGAAAGGTTTGGAATAGTTTCAGAAGGAGTGGTACCAACTTCTATTTGTATGTCTTGTAGAATTTGGCTGTGAACCCATCTGGACCTGGGCTTTTTTTGGTTGTACGCTATTAATTGCTGCCTCAACTTCAGCCCTTATTATTGGTCTAGTCAGGGTTTTAACTTCTTCCTGGTTTAGGCTTGGGAGGGTGCAGTGTCCAGGAATTTATCCATTTCTTCCTGGTTTATTGGTTTGTGTGCATAGAGTTGTTTGTAGTAGTCGCTGATGTTCGTTTGTATTTCTGTGGAATTGGTGGTGATATCCCCTTTATCATTTTTGATTGTGTCTATTTGATTATTCTCTTTTCTTTTTTATTAATCTGGCTAGCAGTCTATTTTGTTGATCTTTTCAAAAAATCAGCTCCTGTATTTATTGATTTTTTGAAGTTTTTTGTGCCTTTATCTCCTTCAGTTCTGCTCTGACCTTAGTTATTTCTTGTCTTCTGGTAGCTTTCGAGTTTTTGTTTTTTTTTTTTGATCTTGCTCCTCTAGCTCTTTCAATTTTGATGATAGGGTGTCAATTTTAGATTTTTCCTTGCTTCTCATGTGGGCATTTATTGCTATATATTTTCCTCTAGGGACTGCTTTAAATGTATCCCAGAGATTCTGGTACATTGTGTCTTCATTATTGTTGGTTTTGAAGAACATCTTTATTTCTGCCTTCATTTCATTGTTTATCCAGTCAACATTCAAGAGCCAGTTGTACTGTTTCCATGAAGTTGTGTGGTTCTGAGTTAGTTTCTCAATTCTGAGTTCTAATTTGATTGCACTGTGGTCTGAGAGACTGTTATGGTTTCTGTTCTTTTGCATTTGCTGAGGAGTGATTTACTTCCAATTATGTGGTCAATTTTAGAGTAGGTGTGATGTGGTGCTGAGAAGAATGTATATTCTGTGGATTTGGGGTGGAGAGTTCTGTATATGTCTTAGGTTTGCTTGATCCAGGTCTGAGTTCAAGTCCTGGATATCCTTGTTAATTTTCTGTATCATTGATCTGTCTAATATTGACAGTGGAGTGTTAAAGTCTCCCACTATTATTGTGTGGGAGTCTAAGTCTCTTTGTAGGTCATTAAGAACTTGCTTTATGTATCTGGGTGCTTCTATATTGGGTGCGTATATATTTAGGTTCATTAGCTTTTCTTGTTACATTGATCCTTTTACCATTATGTAATGCTCTTCTTTGTCTCTTTTAATATTTGTTGGTTTAAAGTCTATTTTATCAGAGACTAGGATTGCAACTCCTGCTTTTTTTTTGCTCTCCATTTGCTTGGTAAATCTTCCTCCATCCCTTTATTTTGATTCTATGTATGTCCTTGCATGTGAGATGGGTTTCCTGGATACAGTACACCGATGGGTTTTGACTTTTTATTCAATTTGCCAGTCTGTGTCTTTTGATTGGGGAATTTAGCCCATTTACATTTAAGGTTAATATTGTTATGTGTGAATTTAATCCTGCCGTTTTGATGCTAGCTAGTTGTTTTGCCCATTAGTTGATGCAGTTTCTTAATTGTGTTGATGCTTTTTACTATTTGGTATGTTTTTGGAGTGGCTGGTACTGGTTGTTCCTTTCTATGTTTAGTGCTTCTTTCAGGAGCTCTTGTAAGGCAGGCCTGGTGGTGATGAAATCTCTGAGCAATTGCTTGTTCGTAAAGGATTTTATTTCTCCTTTGCTTATGAAGCTTAGTTTGGCTGGATATGAAATTCTACATTGAAAGTTCTTTTCTTTAAAGATGTTGAATATTGACCCCCACTCCCTTCTGGCTTGTAGGGTATCTGCTGAGAGATCCGATGTGAGTCTGATGGGCTTCCCTTTGTGGGTAACCCAACCTTTCTCTCTGGCTGCCCTTAGCATTTTTTCCTTCATTGCAACCCTGGTGAATCTGAAATTATGTGCCTTGGGGTTGCTCTTCTTGAGGAATATCTTTGTGGTGTTCTCTGTATTTCCTGGACTTGAATGTTGGCCTGCCTTGCTAGGTTGGGGAAGTTTTCCTGGATAATATCCTGAAGAGTGTTTTCCAGCTTGGATTCATTCTCCCCATCACATTCAGGTACACCTATCAAACGTTGATTAGATCTTTTCACATAATCCCATACTTCTTGGAGGCTTTGTACATTTCTTTTTACTATTTTTTCTCTAGTCTTGCCTTCTTGTTTATTTCATTGAGTTGATCTTCGAACTCTGATATCCTTTCTTCTGCTTGGTCAGTTCGGCTATTGAAACTTGTGTATGCTTTGTGAAGTTCTCGTGCTGTGTTTTTCAGCTCCGTTATGTTATTTATATTCTTCTCTAAGCTGTTTATTCTTGTTAGCATTTCGGCAAACCTTTTTTCAAGGTTCTTAGTTTCTTTGCATTGGGTTAGAACATGTTCTTTTAGCTCAGAGAAGTTTGTTATTACCCACCTTCTGAAGCCTGTTTGTGGCAATTCATCAGACTCATTCTCCATCCAGCTTTGTTCCTTTGCTGATGATAAGTTGTGATCCCTTGGAGGAGGAGAGGCATTCTGATTTTGTTTTCATCCTTTTTGAACTGGTTTCTTCCCATCTTTGTGGATTTATCTACCTGTGGTCTTTGTAGTTGGTTACTTTCAGATGGGGCCTCTGAGTGAACATCCTTTTTGTTGATGATTAAGTTTTTTCTTTCTGTTTTTTAGTTTTCTTTCTAACAGTCAGGTCCTTCTGCTGCAGGACAGCTAGAGGTCTACTCCAGACCCTGCTTGCCTGGGGATCACCTGCGGTGGCTGCAAAACAGTAAGGGTTGCTGCCAGTTTCTTCTTCTGTTGTCTTCATCCCAGAAGGATACCTGACAGATGTCAGCCTGAGCTCTCCTTTATGAGGTGACTCTTTGGACATATGGAGGTCAGGGAGTTGCTTGAGGAGACAGTCTGTCCCTTATAGGAGCTCAGTTGCTGAGCTGTGAGCGCCGTTGTTCTGTTCAGAGCTGCTGGGCAGGTACGTTTAAGTCTGCTGCAGCGGAACTCATAACTTCCTTTTTTCCCAGGTGCTCTGTCCTGGGAAGGTGGGGCTTTATTTATAAGTTCCTGATGTGCTGCTGCCTTTTTTCAGAGCTGTCCTGCCCAGCAAGGACAGTTACAGTCTTGCTAGTTACAGTCTGCCAGCAGAGGTGTTGCTGAGCTGCCATGGGCTCTGCCCAGCTGCTGTGTGAACTTCCTTGCAGTTTTGTTTATAGAGGTATAGGTAGAACTGCCTCGGTAATAATGGTCTGCCTCAGTAATGGTGGACTGCCTTGGTAATGGTGGACTGCCTCAGTAGTGGCAGACGCCCTTCCGCCACAGAGCTGGACCATCCTAGGTCCAGCTGTGCTTGCTGCAAATCTCTCAATCCAGAGTGTTTCAGATTGCTGGTCTTTGTGTGGTTGGGACTCGCTGAGCCAGATCACCTGGCTCCCTGTTTTAGCCCCCTTTTTTTCAGTTGAGTGGGCGGCTCTGTCTCCTAGGCATTTCAGGTGCCAGTTGAAACAGTGGCCCAGATTTGTGTGAGTTTTTATGTGGATACCCCCTGCACCAGCTGAAACAGCATGCTGGAAACTTGTGGTGCTTTTCAGCCTGGGAATCTCCTGGTCTGTGGGCAGTAATAACTCATTTGGAAGTACAGTGTTCACTTACCCTCTGTGTTGTTCTCATTGGGAGCTGCACTCTAGAGCTGTTCCTATTCAGCCATCCTGGATCAGTCCATTATATGTTTTAAATGGAGAAATTAATCCATTTACATTCAAGCTTATTATTGATATGTGAGGCTTTGTTACTGTCATGTTGTTAATTATTTTCTGTTTTTTTAAAATGTTTTTTCCCTTTTTTTTTCTTTCAGTCTTTGTAGAGACTGTTAAAAATTGCCAATGCTGACTACATTGCAAGTTGTCATGGCAGAGTATTGGGAAAAGTTTTCAATTAGCAGTAATTGTACCTTGGATAAACCTCATTGGCTATGATACTGCCACTGTGCTAAGCTTCTTTTCTTTTTCTCTTATCGATTGTTGTTGTTTGGTGGATTTCTGTAGTGGTACCATTTGAGTCATTTCTCTTTCTCCTTTGTGTGATTAATTTAGCATGAATTTTATACTTTTGTGTGTTTTCTTGATAGTAAATATTACCCATCTTCCTCTTCCTCCTCCTCCTTTTCTTCTTCATTCTCTTCCTCTTCTTCTTTTTGCGACAGAGCCTTGCTCTGTCACCCAGGCTGGAGTGCAGTGGTGCAGTCTCTGCTCACTGCAACCTCTACCTCCTGGGTTCAAGTGATTCTCATGCCTCAGCCTCTTGAGTAGCTGAGAAGGTATGCATCACCATGCCTGGCTAATTTTTGTATTTCTAGTAGAGACAGGGTTTTGTCATGTTGGCTAGGCTGGCCTTGAACTCCTGGCTTCAAGTGATCTGCCCACCTCGGCCTCCCAAAGTGCTGGGATTACAGGTGTGAGCCACTGCACCTGGTCTAAATGTTATCCTTTTACTTCTGGGTTTAGGACTCTTGAGCATTTCTTGTAGAACTGGTCTAATGGTAAGAAATTCCCTCATCATTTGCTTGTCAGGGAAGGACTTTATTTCTCCTTTATTTATGAAGGATAATTTTGCTGGATGTAGTACTAGTGGTTGGCATCCACCACCCCCAGTACTTTGAATATATCATTCTGTTCTCTGGACTGTGGGTTTTCCGCTGAGAAATCTAGTATTAGTCCTATGGGGTTTCATTTTTAGGTGACTAGATGCTTTGCTTTTGCTGTTTTTAGGATTAGCTCTTTATCTTTGACTTCAGACAGTATGATTATAATGTGTTGGAGACAATCTTTATATATTGAATCTTCCTGGGGATTGCCAAGCCTCTTGTGTCTGAATGTCTAAGTCTATTGCTAGACTTGGGAGGGTTTCATCTATAATTTTATTACATAGGTTTTCTAATCCTTTCTTTGTTTCTGTACCCTCAGGGATACTGATCATTTTTGCTTTAAGTTGTCCCAAGTGTCACAAAGGCTTTGTTCCTTCTTTTTTATTATTTTTTCTTTATTTTTGTCTGACTGGATTATTTCAAAAAAATTTGTTTTCAAGTTTTGAGATTCTTCTGCCCAATCTAGCCTGTTGTTAAAGGTTTCAAATGTATATTGCCTTCAATGATTTCTTCAGTTCCAGAGTTTCTATTTGGTTCTTTTAAAAAAATATCTATGTCTTTGGTAAATTTCTCATTCATATCCTGAATTGTTTCTCTGATTTCTTTACAATTTTTAGAATTCTCTTGTATTTCACTGAACTTCTTTAAAATCAATATTTTGGATTCTTTATTTGCAATTTTTGAAAATTTCTTTTTGATTGTGATCTATTGCTGGATAACTACTGTGTTTATTTGGAGGTGTCATATTTCCTTGTCTTTTCATGTTTACTGTGACATGTTTATTTTCATGTTACTGTGAATATCCTTACATCAATATCTCCACATCTGATATAATGGTCACTCTTCCTATTTTTAAATTTACTTTTGTAGGGGAAGACTTTTTCCTAAAAATGTATCTGTGGTGTTGGTTGGATAGGGCACTTTGGCTTTGATTCTGGGTGTGTGTAGTAATGTAGTCTTTCTTTGATTTCTCTGGGTGTAAACAGTATTAGTGCCATCTGCGATTTCCTTGGTGGGTTAGGGTGTGGTGAAGTTGTGCTGGGGACTGGGATGGTATGTTGGTCAGGCTTCAGGTCCCAGTAGTGGTAGCAGTGGGCCAACTATGCCTATCTTGGTGTGGTTCAGGGTGGTGTGCACTGACACCTGTGGTGGAAGTTACCAGTGGGCCAATTCTTAGGCCTCCAGATGGCTTGCTTGGATGCTGGTAATGGCAGCAGTGGAGTATGTGGGTGGGCAGGATCTCAGGCCTCCGGGCAACCAGTGTGGCATGGGCAGTGGCAAGTAGCCCATCGGTGGCATGATTCTCTGGGTTCCAAGCAGTGTGCATGGATGTTGGCTGTTGCTGTGATGGGCTGAGTGGGCCAGACTCCAGGCCTGCAGGTGGTGCTTGCAGGCAGGTGCCAGCTGAGGTGGTTGAAGTTGAAAGTTTAGGCCCAATCTCAGGTCCCTGGGAGGAGTGCTTAGGTGCTCAGGGTGGTTGATTGGGTTGGGTAATCCTCTGGACTTCAAGTTATATGCTCTATTTCAGAGAGGTAGGTAAAGCCATGCTGGGTGGGCTTGTGCTCAGGCCCCACAATGATGAGAGTAGGCACCAGCCATGGTCTGCAGAGGCAGGGTGATCCTCAGACCACAGATGGAGTGCTTGGGTAAAGGGTGGTAGCAGCTGAACCGAGGCCCTGCCACTGGAGACGGTGGGGCCATCCTCAGTGGCCACAGCCTGGGTCAGAGGGTAGGAAAAGCACATCTCTCTTATGCCCCGGTTCCAGTGGGGCTTGTTCCCCATCCCAGCAGTAGTAGCCTGTTCCTAGCTTATGCCCCCTCCCTGTCTACAGGAGCTCCCCCCCAGCTGGCAACTAAGACCAAGTTGCAGCTCACACCCTGCTAGCATCTGAGTCTCTATACCAGTGGCACTCACTTCTTGGCACTAACAGCTGCTGCCCACACCTTGCTTGCTTCTTAGCTCTGGCTATGGGACAACTTCCAGCTCATTCCCCAGTCCTATTAGCAACAGAGTCTCTGTAATGCCTCAGTCTTGGCACCGCTGGGCCCCAGGACAGTGTGTAGTCTGCCAAAGGGTAGGTCTGAAAATGACACCTTGCCATAGCTGCTTAGGCTCTGAAAGGGTGTGGGACCCAACGTGAGCTCCTCCCTGGAGTGGTTCCATTCCATGATCTCTTACCAGCTCCTTATGTTAGTTTCAGGGGTTGGGAGGGTTGAGGGGTTCTCTTGTGGCAGGACTACAGGACTCTGTGGTGGGGACTAGGGCCTCTGTAAGTCAGTCACCCTTTCCTCGCCTTGGGAATTTACTCCTGCTCCCAGTCCATCCCCTCCAGGAAGGCTGTCTCTCCCTCCCTTCTCCTTACCTGCTTTTTGGTGTTTCTTGTTACTTACCTGTTGAATTCCAATATTCTCTCTTGGATGGTTTATTCAAAGTATGACTGTTTATATACGCTAAGTGGAAGAGGTGGGCATGAAATGCTTCTAATGAGCCATCTTGAAGCCCCTCCTCAGCTTTCCTTTTTTTTTAAGAACAGTTTTAGATTTGCATAAAGTTGAGAAGTTTAGAAAGTCCCGTGTACTTGCACCCAGTGCACTGTATTACTAACATCGCACATGAGTACACATTTGTTACAACTAATAAACCATAACTGATACATTACCAGCTGAGGTCCATGCTTTCTTCAGAATTCCTTGATTTTTACCTAATGTCCTTTTTCTGTTCCAGGATCTTTCGGCTAGTGGTTGTGTCTCCTCAGGATCTTCTTGGCTGTAATGGTTCAGTCTCCTTTTTTATCCCAACTGTTTTGTTTGGTCATTTACTTATTTACTTTTGAGGTGGAGTCTGACTCTGTCACCCAGGCTGGAGTGCAGTGGCACAATCTCGGCTCACTGCAGCCTCTGCCTCCTGGGTTCAAGCAATTCTCCTGCCTCAGCCTCCCAAGTAGCTGGGATTACAGGTGTGTGCCACTAGACCTGGATAACTTTTGCATTTTTGGTAGACCCGGGGTTTCACCATGTTGGCCAGGCTGGTCTCAAACTCCTGGCCTTAGGTGATTCTCCTGCTTCAGCCTTCCAAAGTGCTGGGATTACAGGTGTGAGCCACCGTGCCAGGCCCCAACTGTTTTAGATTATTCACTATTGTGATTATGAAATGAATTCATGGTGAATGCATATACACATAGTTGAAAAATCAGTATAATGACCTAAATTATAATAGAGGAGGAATAAAAGTAAAGCAATACATAATTAATATTTAAGTGCTCACTTGGAGCTACACCACAGGTCATAAAGAAGTAGTCAGATATTTGTACCTATTTATAATTTAAGAACAAGGAGACAAGCACTCTAAAATATTAATTACACTTTTTCTTAATTTTGTTGTTATTTTGAAACAAGAGCTGAAGAAATATACACATGTGGAATTACTGGGCCTGTGGGCATCGTATATGTGTTGACTGCTGAAATGGATGCTATGAATGGAGCTGGCTTCTGCGTCCCAATTTTCTAAAGTGGTAAACAGAATGCCATCCCTTTGTAGACTTATACTGTAGTTGCATTTTCAGAAAATCCTGTGTGTATTCACAAGATGCAAAAACATTTTGTGTTTATTTGTAAAACAAAGTTAAAGTTCCAATGTGATTAGATGCACATTTTAACTGAAGCAAAGGTCAGGTCTGACATATGAAAGCCGTGTGGGACACAGACCAATCTCCTGCCTCTGGGGCCACCCCCAACTAAATGTCAGTGGCCCCCTCCTCCCATCATTGTGATGACCAATGAAAGTACCTGCAAATTTCCCAAAATGCCCCCTAAGGTGCGGTACCCCTATGGATTATGGTGGTGGGCAGAGGTCGACAAGGCAGATTAGCCTTCATTTGTTCATTGGTTAAATGAGGACAATAGTAGCTGAATGAGGGAGACAATGCATGTAAAACACTTAGCTAGGTGCCCGGCATATGGTATGTCCTCCCAACATGTAAACTAGTGCTATCTTCCAGTTAATCAACAGGGATTGTTTGAGGTGACCCTGTGTCCTTGATATCCAAGTAGGTGTGTGTGAGTAAGGAATGCGGATCAGGCAAGCACCCACCATCCGTGCCCCACACATGAAATAAACAGTGAATTATTAATCAATTATGGTTCAGAAAAAGGAGCACCCAGTGGGGAGCTGGAGTCAGAGAAATCTTTCTGGGAAAGACAATAGTGGCATGTTTAATGAGGGCAGCTGAAACATGATGGGAAATATATTTATTCCATGAATAACAAACAACTCCTAGATCCTTGCTTCTCAAAGTTTGGTCTTCAGACCTGCAGTATCAGCAGCATTGGGAGGTTTGTTCAAAACAGAATCT